TTCTTACTATGCCCATTGATACATTTCTAACAATGAATAATGATAAGAGTTATTTTGAGACTCCAAGCAAATGACCACAGCCATTTAAGGATGAATGACCCTTTAAAAAAAAGCTTTTCTAATAGCTGTTCTGTGTTTGTGGACATTGGCCAAGATCTAGCAATGAAAGTTTAGGTACCAATCATTGAAGACAAACATTTTCCTTTGAAAAGTCAGATTCCCTCTCCAGTGAGGAAACAGGGGTCCTGGCTCCCGCCCATGCTGACGGGGCGTTGGAGGCGCTTCACCTCTCTCAGTCTTCACTTCTTCGTCTTTAAGTTTTGAATATAAACCCCCGAGTGTAATTCAGAAGATTGAGCCAAGCGAAGCGTGGGGGCCACCCCTGGCTCCCGCCCTCCTGCTATCTCGGTCCCAATGCCTCTCTGTGATGTTTGAGTCATTTCTCTTCTCTACACTGAGGGGCGGGGGACACTCTTTGAGTGTTTGTTTCTACCCCCCTTTCAGTGCAGTGTCCTCCTCACTGTAGGCAGTTTGAAAAGTTGAGTAAAAGAATGCATGTTCAAACAATAAAAGAGGACTTAGGGCCCAGCTGGTGCGACCTATGAACCAGGAGGTCACGGTTTGATTCCCGGTCTGGGCACATACCCGGATTGGGGGCTCGATCCCCAGTGGGGGGCGTGGAGGAGGCAGCCGATCAATGATTCTCTCTCATCATTGATGTTCCTATCTCTCTCTCCCCCTTCCTTTCTCTGAAATCAATAAAAACATATTTTGAATATTTAAATGAAAGAAAGAACTTAGGTTAGGGAGTAGTGCCATACAACCTCTAGTGTCTAGAATAAGATAGTGTTTATATTGTGAATTCAGTTGCAAAGTATTATATATGTGAGGCTTTTAGTTAAGGAGAATCATCAAAAATGTTGGCAACTAGGAGAGACTGTTTTTTCTCATCCTTCTGAAAAAATGTAGGTCGCTCCATGGCCTCTGGGCGAACATCGGCTTGTCCTCTGGGGCCTCCATCCTTGGAACACAACCCTTTTTAGTTGTTTATTCGCACAGTCCTGCTTACGTCCCTTTTAGCCCCTTTTATTACATTTGCTGTTTCCCATGTGACTGGGCTAACATTAGCCGTAACACAGTTCTGAGCGTGGCCCCTTGTCCTGCTTATCTTTCCGTTTCTCGTCTTTGTCTGACGTAGCGTCTGGCGGGGAGTATGATCAGCACAGGTTTGCTGTGTGGATGGATGAATAACTGCACACAGAGCCTCCTTGCTCTCTGTCTGCCTCCCTCGTCGCTGATTTCTATCAGTGTTGGTCCTGCTTTTGTTTATTTATATTATTTAAAAATGACCTCAGGTGCAGCGTTGGATTATAGACTATGCATGACCCTCAGTTATGACATGCTTTCATCATCGGTCCTTGCATGGTCTGCTTTAATATACATGCAGGTGGATGGATTTAAATAGTATAACAAACATTTATGAACTCGCTACCAAAACCCAAACCAGGGCCTTGATAATAACTTATGCCTAACCATATGGTTTCCCAACTCCCATCTCCTTTTCCCGTAACCTGGGGTAACCATCATCCTGAATCCTTTGTTATTTTTTCCTTTGCTTTACTTTTTATAAAGTTTTTATTACATCTCTATATGTTCCAAAAAAGTAAGTGCTCTTAACTTTATAAAAAGTATATATCATGCTTTATAAACTCATGTTATAAGGCTAACATTCACCCATATTGTCCGTGTTGTTGTGTATGTTCACTTATTCACTGTTGTTCCTATACTCACTCATTGTGTGCATATACTACTGTTGATGTAGTCACATTCCTGTGGCTGGAAAATTAGGTTAGTCCCAGGATTTTGCTCTTGTGTGCAGGACTGCTATGAATATTCATGAGCATGATGCCATCAGATTTTGGGTTATGAGCTTGAGAGTAGAATTTCTGGGTTATAGGAAATGTGAATTTTTGACTTTAGGAGGTAATGCCAAAACATTTTCCAAAGTCTTTATACCAATTCATATTCCTACCACATCCTTTCCAATACTTGTTATTCTCAAACTTAAAATCTGATCCTATTGAATGGGTGGAAAACAGAATAGCGCTGTGGTCTCCCTGATCACTAAAGATCGTGATTGTGAACATTTCTTCAAATGCTTATTTCATATATTTTTTAAAATTTAGTTTTATTGTGAAAGTGTT